CTCCCAGTGGGGCCCATATTCTCAAACCCAGATTTGTGGATGTTACCTTATACTACAAAAGGAGCTCTGTAGTTGTAACTAAGGATCATGAGATAGACAGGGAGTATATTACACAAGCAGGCCATCTTAGTTACTTTCTATGAATATGAAGAGACACCGTGACCAAGACAACTTACAAAAGACAGCATTTAATTTGGGGGCTTCACAGTTTCAGAGGGTGAGTGGAGATCATTATGAGGATGCAGGAATGCATAGTGCTGTGTGTGTGTGTGTGTGTGTGTGTGTGTGTGTGTGTGTAGAGAGAGAGAGAGAGAGAGACAGACAGACAGACAGACAGACAGACAGACAGACACAGACTTGGCCTGATATGGGCTTTTGAAACCTCAATGCCCACCTCCAGTGACATACCTCCTCTAACAAGGCCAGTCTTTCAAAACAGTTACATCAACTGGGGACCAAGCATTCATAGATATGAACCTGGGGGGGGCATTCTCATTAAAACCACCACACAGGCACAGCTGTAATTGCCAGGATCATCAGTAAGGTCAGACATGGAGAATGGCCCAGAGACAAGACAGAAGAAAGAAGCAGCATAACACTCAAGACTATGGGCCAAAGATAGCTTCTAGAATCCAGAAGACATCTATAGGGGTTATCCCTGTGTACATTTGGGTTTAAAGCCACTAAGTTTGGGGTAGGCATGGAGGCTGAGGGGATTGGGGCATGTCATTCTCTCTTTGTGCCAAGGTAGATAAACAGTCTTCCAAACCCCTATTATTCTGTGATTTGATGACAAATGGTTGATGGGCTTGGTGAAATGCAACTTCCAACATCTCAGATTCAAGGCATGTGTATCTAGATAAAATCTCCAATGCAATCCCTAGCCACTGAAAGTGACAAGCTCTATGAAGATACTGTCCCTGATACTTGGCACTTACTAAGTACTCAGTAAATATGTGTGAGGACTCTGATGCTGGGTGGGAGTATGGGCCAAAGGAAGGGCTCATACTTTGTTGATCCATCAGTGCCTCTTCTTGCATTTATGGAAGCCTCTATCAATGAGCAATGCCATGGCCACATAAATTAAAAGAGAACACAGGGAAATTTGCCCCCCCCCCAAAAATATGGTCCACACACCACCAGGTTTGTGTCCTCGTTTGCTTTTTGTTGCTTTGATAAACATCATGACCAAAAGCAAATTGGGGTGGGGGGTGGGACAGCTCAGGGGGTTCAGTTTACAGGTTACAGTCAGTCATCAAGGTAAGCCAAGGCAGGAGCTCAATGCAAAGAACATGAAGCCACGCAGGGAATGCTGCTTACTGGTTTGCTTTCCATGCTGACTCAGCCCAAGCCCAGGCAGGGAGAGGCACTGCCCAAAGCGGGATGGGGTCTTCCGACATATTTAGCAATCAAGAAAATGCTCCACAGGTCAGTCTGATGGAGGTAAGTCTTGATTCGAGACTTCCTCTTCCCAGGTATATCTAGGTTTGTGTCACATTGATAAAAAACTAACAAACAGAATCGGGGAAGAGTGCATACTAGGGTGGCGGGTATCTTTAGACAACCTGGAGTTGTCTGGGCTTGAATTTGCTCTGAAAGGAGAGTTAAAACTACCCAGTCACTGAGCGACTGTCCCCCAGAGATCAAAGGGGTCTCCCCTGACTTCCAAAGACCTGTCTAAGGGTCCTTGTCCCTCAGGCTCTGTCTTTTGGGGTCTGCCAGGTTCCATAGCTTTGTCCTAATGCTCCTCCTTGGTGCTTCCTCTGTGCATATCTGGCTCTCCCATCTGCGTGTCCCTTCCCCTATGGTGCGCATTCCCGGCCCCTTCGTGAACGCGCCCTCTCTCCTCGTGCACGCATTCCCGTTCCATTTTCATTTGCCTCACTGCCTCAGTCGGGGTGTAATCCTAACTCTACCCACGAGCTTGTACTGGTTGCCAGGCAACGGTACTCACTGGCAGGTGGCAGGAACGTGTATCAGTTACACGCACCAAGGAGGCTGGAGCGGTTTCCTTAGAACTGATCCTCTAGTGTCTCTGCCGAATCAGATCTCAAAATTACACCTTACGAGCTTTGTCGGTCTCACCCCGGAGGCTGAGGAAGCGTTAGTTCTCTGGAAGGAGGCAGTGGGCCTGGGTGACTCCTCCTCCACCTTCCTCTCTTCCGGATCCTCCTCCTCCTCTTCCTCCGTCCCCTTCCCCGCCCTCTATCCACACAATAGGAAAACTAAGGTAAGGTTGATGGCTGTCTAATTGAGTTTTATTTTCAGGTAAACTGGTTACTTTCTAGCACAAATATAGCATAAGACAATTATTCATCGTTTCTCTGAAATTCAAATTGAACTAGGCCTGCTTTAATTTTAAGTGCCAAATCCAGAACTGCTGCCCAGGTCCCCTCTATCCCAGGCCCTGGCAGAGGACCTCCTTCAGTGGATCCCAGAAGTCACTTCAGGCTGCAGGGAGCTGTTTCTGCGAGAAGGGACTTTCTTCTTAGGAGCTTGGTTCATACTGGTGTTTGTTGGGGAGTAACATTTCTTAAGGCAGAAACAATGGCTATTATTTCCTCACATGGCCAGGAAATACAGAGATGACACAGGGGCCTCATAAAAGCCCCACTGAGAATGCTAAGCACCTGCCAGAAGCCTCAGACAGACCCTGGCTAACTCCTAAATTAGAGTTTTCCCCTTGACTATCACTGTCCCTTTCCCAGGTTCCATGTTTCTGTAACTGAACTTCAAATGGCATTGAGAAGTCCATTCGGTGATTTTATCTCTGGAGGATTTCCCACTGAAGAAGCACAATGGAGAACACAGTCCAGTCAGTTGCCATAATACTTTTCTCGATATGGTTAGGGCACCTATGGCAACTTGGTAGGAGATCAGCTCATCAGTTCTTAGGGCTACACTCCTCCACACATACACACATTCCTTTGGTGGCAGAAGCAATTTCTGTACCACACTTCCCCTCCTGCATTGTGAGTCACTAGGGAACCACTCCCTATTTTAGAGAGCATTTCCATTCCCTTATATTGTCACAAGATTCCACATTATTGTACTTAATTGGGCCCTCCACTTGGACATTCATATGGTATTCCAATCTGACTATGGGACTAATGGTGCAAACGCTGTGTTCACGTGTCATCTCAGTCTTGAGAGTGAACCTTTGAGATGGGATCAAGAACTGCAATGGTGAACATATTGTGATATTTCTAGATGTTACCTCAACTATGCCAATTGTGCTCTCCCATAACTATTGCAGGTCAGACTGGTGTCTACAAGAAGCAAAAATGCCTTGGTCCAGAGGCAAGTCTTGACACAGTGGCACTCTCTCTCCTCTAGCTGCTAAAATTCTCTTTTTTTTTTTTTGTCTTGTGAATTTTACTGTTTCTTCAGAAAACTTGAGCTTAGCTCAAATATCAACTTTTCACAGAAGATTTTTCCTGGCTTCCCTGGATTGTCAGAGCCCCTGTTGTCTTCTCTTAAGAGAACACATTTCAGTTTTAATTTTGTATTTACTGATTTGTCTTTAATATTCATCTCCCCTACTTTTCTCCATGCCACCATGGATATCAGAGGTAGTCTGTAGGTCTAAATGCAGATGTTTAGAAGGCAACTGACAGACAGATTACATACGTTTAACAAAGCAATATTAGTAAACTTCTCACTGGAACATATATTCTTACCGTAGCTTCTGTGGGCAATCCCAATAAATACACTGGGTTACAATTCTGAGCTTGAGTAGAATCATATGTTCAGTCTTTTATCCTTCTGGGGTAAATAGAAATAGTCAACCCAGAAGGAGCCATGCAACAATGTTCATATCTGAAAAGACTGGGAAACAGCTGGGAGTGGGCACAAACTTGCTCAGTGCTGTTAGCCCTGTGACCAAAATACTCCTTGGGAACCTAGAGGGGTCTGTCTTCTAGAAGAATAACAAGCATAGGTGCATGGTATGCCGACATGCATGCATGTTCTCTCTCTCTCTCTCTCTCATCTCAGGCAGCATGATGAAGGCTGTATGAACTACTTGAAGCAGGAGGAACCTTCTTGTACTGGTTGAAAAAACTCTTAGAGCTAGAGCTGGTCTGTACCTTGAAGGTGAGGAGCCATGTTCCAACAATAGAGGGAGGATCGTGGAGTTGGAAAAGTGCAGGGTGTGTTGTGTAGAATGGCAGAATATTTGGTAGAGTAAGGGCCTAGGGTGGATGATGACAGGCAGGTGCTTGAGGTAAGCCTAAAGTTTATGGCTAGATTATGAGTAATTGCATGCTGTTTATTGGAATCTGAATTTGTATTCTCTGGCTTTGACAATACATGATTTTTCAGAAGAGATGGACAGTTTGTGATGTTTTATGGAAGTACATAGCAGAAGCATCTTAGAGTCAATAGACTTAAGGTTCTGAGGTCAGGCAGTGGGTACAAACCATACATTCACATGCCAGTCAAGTGCTCTGGACTGTTCACTAAAGCTCTTTGAGTTTGCTTCCCTGTCTGACCATTGCCTGAGATGTTGTGGGCATTAACTGGCACCAGCATTACTTGGCACAATGTGATGAATAACACTAGTGCCCATTTCTGACCCTGGGACTAAACAAGAACTGTCAGGATGTAGTAGCTATTTTCACTATGACTTCTGCAGAGACCTTTTGTAGACCATTTGGAGTTTCCTTGGGCCAGCCTGCTTATTTCATCCTTAATAAGAAATACCCATGACTAGTGACAGAGTGGAATGTTCCGGTAGCCATATATATATATATATGGACAGGGTTTCTCTGGGTACTCTCTGTAGACCTGGAACTCTCTCTGTAGACCAAGAACTCTCTCTATAGACCAAGGTGGCCTTAAGTTCAGAGATCTGCCTGCCCCTACTTGCCTCCATAGTTCAGGGATTATAGATGAATTCCACCACTGCTTAGCTTGACTTTACTTTTAACTCTGCCTATTCAGAACACTTTTGGCTCTAATGAAAAACTTTTATAGATCATTTTATTTAGGAATTAAAAATGGAGTCATCATATCTTCAAAAGTGCCTGGGGACATGCCTGACTCAAGGTCTCGCTGAAGTGGCAAGAGTCCGCCCATTGGATCCAATAGAATATTTAGCCTTGTGGATTTATAAGTACAAGCAAAATGTGATCATGGAGCAATTGGTAAATATGGATCTCCTTTCAGGAAATTAGAAGAGCATGATAATTGGTTCATCTTGTTTACATTTTATGTTCAATATTGTTTTTCCATTACAATAATGTTTATTATATGAAAACTTTGGACAGTATGTGAATGCAGAGAGGAGAGAAAACAGAAAGAAGGCTTCTGTTTTGATTTTAAGTATTTTCAACCCAGTAGTGTCTTTTCCTGACATGTTTGTCTGTAGATTGGTTTCATTTTTCTTTATATTTGATGTATAATCTTAATTGTGTGTTCTTTGTTTGGCTAAATCATAAAAATCCCCCAAATTGTTGTATAGTTTCCAAATGAATAGAGCATTATGTTCTTAGCCCTTCTTTTATTGCTGGTGGTTGAGATGCCTCTGAGACTGTGTTAACAGATTGGTCTCTAATAAGTTGTGTGCTGTTGCTTTTTACCAATTGCTAGAGACAGAAAGAGATGATTGAGTTGGAGCATGAGAGAGAATTAGCACTGATGGAGCAGGAAATGCTGGAGCGACTCAAAGCTGAGGAACTCTTATTTCAGCAGGTAAGACAAGCACTCAAATATGATGGAAGTTAACAGTGTCACCCTTGGTGTGCTACAACCCACATCTGGAAATACTCCCAGGCTCTGGTCATTCAGACATTGCTCCCTAGTATCCCCATCCTTTTTTTTTTTTTTTTTTTTTTTTTTTTTTTTTTTTTTTTTGTGAAGAGACAGTGCCACGAGGAAACAGAACAATTCAGAGAATAGTCAACAGCACCACTGCTGAGCTGGTGCTCATTTATAGCCCAGGCAGTCTCTCCAGGAACAGTGGTGAGTGTGAGGTGTAGAGGGTAAGAAGGGGGATGGTGAGTGAGCATTATGCTTTAACGGGGTTTGTGAGGGGAAGGGAAATGGGTTTTATTTTGATTCAGGAACACATGGAACACGTAATAGAAAAATCGAAAAAACCATCTAAAACCTTCTATCCACTGTAAAAAGAGGCAATGGGCCTGGAAAACAAGTGGATGAACCTTTCTGTTATTGCAGCTCAGAGACAAAGCATAGGTGGCTAGGTGTAGGTGGGTGTATTGGCTTGTGACACAAAGTTGAAAGCTGACTTGGTGTGACTTTATGAGGTAAGAATCAACCAGGACCATATACTTAAGAATCAAGTGATGAGGTAGGAGGGATGGAAAGAATGATGAAGGTCTGAAATAATACCTTAGGAGGATGGAAGGGTAGGTTGTACATCCCTGACCTAAAAAAAAAAGAAACCCAAAACAAGAAATATTTCTAAATATGTAACTTTTTGCGTGCTTACATGGTGTCAAGGAATGGAAAATTACACATCGTTAAACTTTGTTTCACATAGCAAAATGATAAAATGTGGTATTTGATTACTTTCAGTTAGAAGATAAAATATAACTGAATTTCATGTTGTCTTGGGTACCTTACCTGAGTCATCTTACTACAGTCTTAAGCATTTCTGAAACAAGTATGATGTAGTATTTGGAGGCCAAGCATCTGTAGTAGTGCTGCCCACTTGGACCTGTCCTCCTCTACAGCTAGATCTGTCTCTACTGAAGAGAAGCAGGGAGTCTCAGCTGTTCTTCTTTCCCAAGACAATGAGTTCACTATGGGGATATACTTCACAGCCTTTGATGCGTCTACTTCATTCTACTGGAATAAAATTTTAGTTACACTAGAAATTCAACATTTTCATAGCTGTGTTAGCCAGCAAAGCTAATCTTCTGCATGTTGAACCCAAAGCATTTCATTTGCAGGGGGTGTGGAATGTAGGATGACATTCTACAAGAGATGTTATGGTTAGTTAAAGAAGTGGATGGGTGGGCAGAAGTAGATAAGAGAAGGAGAGCTGAACCAACAGAAAAGGGCTTAACAGGGAGTGTGTTGAGATGAGAAGTAGCAGATCATTCTTTTTCTCTTGCTCCCTGAAGTGTTTGAGTTGGAGGCTGAGGATTTGGCTTCTTCCTCGAGGTCATTTACAACTCAGCACTGATGGGTTTCCAAGAGTAATTCATGGACACCTTTGCAGCATCCTCTCCTAAACAAAAGCCAGAGAAAAAGCTGGGCAGGTGGTACACACTTACAATCCCTGTTCTGGGAAGGCAGAGGGAGGAGATCTTAAGTTCTGGCCTAGCCTAGGTTACATAGTGAGACTGTCAAAAATTAAATAGAGTAAGCAAACAAAACTCAACAAAAGCTGAGAGAAAATGCTCAAAAGCATTTGACTTGTTTTTAGTTGACAGCTGATATTGTTCCTAGTGTCAACAAATTGATCAGTGACTAAAAACAAACAAACACAAAAACAAACAAAAATAAAAGAGACATGACTGCTCCTAGGTATGGTGGAGGAGAAAGTTTACGGGGAGAGTATAGCCAGAGGCAGGTACATCAGAGTCCAGAGTGAACATGATCCTGAGCTGGGTCACATGAGGAGAGGGACAAGGGGAGAGCCGGGAGAGTAGAGAGTAAACAAAAAGGGTTTGGTAACCAATATGTCTGGGTTATATAGACAAGGGCATCTGGGGAAAGGGCACCCCAACCCCTGGGCTGGAAAAGTTTAGGAAGTGGGCTATGTCAGCCATACCCTGTAACAGTTAGGGACTGAGGAATACTAGGATAATGTAGTGGCCAGGTCCACTTTGATATGTTAGCAATTGTCCCAGGTTTGAGACCTGACATCCAGCTTTCTTACTAATAGTTTAAGAATAAAACAAAACAAAACAAACAAACAAATTTTGCAGGGTGACACATTTCTTTGAGCATGTAAATCAACACTATTTAAATTAACTCACGCTGGCAAATATCATTCCTTGCCTTGAGAACAAATGAATTCCTTAGATGCTTAATATTTTTTGCAAGCTTGTTTTAATTTTTACGAAGAAATTCTGCAGTGATAAAAGGGATCAATCTTAAATTTTTTATTTTGAACATTTGCTTTCTTTTTAAAATTAAAACATATTATTGTGAGAGTGTATATGTATATGGTTTACACAGAGATGGTGAGCAGAACATGTACACGAATGACCCATACGTGGAGGTCAGAGGGCATCTTTGTGGGGTTGGTTCTCTTCTTCTTTTACATATGTTATGGGGGTTGAACTCAGGTTCTAAGGCTCACTGACAGTGCTTTTACCCACTTAGCTGTCTGATGAATCTTGACCTTTGCTTTCATATGAGTTAAGACTATTGCAATGTGTGCATCATCTGTGACTGATATTTGTTGCATTCTGTTAGTTCAGTGGCATTATATTAAAACAAAATTGTATTTTGCTATTAAGGTAAGAAAACAATTCATGCCTCATTGTGTCTTCAAAGTGTGTCATTCAACATCTGTGTCTTATTTTATTATTGTTTGTTTCTTTGTGACAGGTCTCATTGTATTAGCCCAGATCAGCTTCCAATTTTAGATCCTATTGTCTTAATTATTAAAAGCTGGGGTAACTAGTGTGTGTCACTGCATCCAGCTCCTTTGCTTTCACGATGGTATCAATTTTCTAAGTGCCACAGCATAGTGATATCGTGACACTCTAAACACTATTGGTGGACAGTGTTATCTGATTGCAGAGTCACAATGGTGCCACATACGACCTTTGTAATGACTGCTTTGCTCTTTTGTTGCCAGTGAAAAGCAGTCATAGACAATTCCCAATTGAATGAGCCTAGCTGCATTTCAACAAAACTTAATTTACAGATCCTGGAACTTGGATGTTATATAACTTCCATATATCATTATTCCTTTGATTTTATTTTCCCTCAACCATTGCAGAATGTACATGATATCATTGGCTTCTGAGCTGCACCCAAGCCGGAGCTGTGTCCCATTTGGTCCACAGGCTTTATTGCTGACATCTGTTCTAGTGTGACACTCGTGCTGCATTAGGACCAAGCACACTGTTAATCAGCCATGTTTACAGATACACACACTGTCATGGTCATCATGTTCTCACTCACTGCTTTGTGTCCAAGATTTGGTTCTCTCCCAGCCAAACTTAGAAAGATCTCATCTCAGAAAAATTCGCTTTGGTTCTATTTGCAGTTTTAAGAACAAGAGAGTCATAACTTGACTTTGTATACACTCCTTCCCACCTTTGGCAATTAAAGAAATGTCATTTTGTATGCTTAAAGAAATAATTGTAGAAGCTGAGTATTATTTGAATACAATCACTTTTTCTAATTTTCTGAAATTAAGTTGGGGACTGAAAAGTGACACAGGCAGGTGTGGTAGTTCCAGTAATGTCAGCATAGGAGAGGTGGAGGCAAGAGGACTGTTACGAGTTACCAGTCTGGGCTATGTAGGTAAGACCTGTCTAAAACAAACAACCAACAAACAGGGTGGTGGAGCTGATGTCTAGCTATTGTCTCTCACGACTGCCATATGATTTAAATACTTGTAACTTTTCAGCAACAGCTGGCATTCCAGCTGGAGTTGGAGATGCAAGAAAAAGAGAAGCAGAAGATAGAAGAACTCCAGAGAGCTCAAGCAGAGTTAAACAAGGTAATTTGAAGTTTTTTTTTTTTTTGTGTGTGTGTGTCCGCTCCTTAGAAGCTTCTATACTCTTCAGGCTGTTCATTCCAGCCATGCCAGTAGAAAGACTATAGGATGCAGAACCCAGACACCTGTTTGCTCTCAGCTGTGGGACTTCAAGCAGCCTTTGTATCTGCTTTCCTGTTTTACAATAGCATAGCAGCACAATACCATAGGCATCAAGCAAGGAGTCCCGTATGTGCCTTCGAAAGCCACAGAAGCCTCTATAGGGACACTGTCAATGGTTTTTCCATTGACTGTTGTTAATTATGTTGACTGATCGAAGGTATTCTAATGGATGAGATAGCAGCATGTCACTTTTCTTCATGTTAGATATACCAAGAAAATCATTCACATTTAAAAAATCTGTTCTTATGTTGATTTTCATGTCTCTTATGAAGATAAATGGTGCAGTGACTTAGTTTAAAAAAAGCCCATTTTCATTGATAATACATAGAGTCAAATCTCTAGCTTATCTAATATCCTGAAAATGCGTGCATATAGGTTTGACCTCTCAATGACTACATTTATGGCTACAGGCTGCTGTCATCGCCACCCAACTGCAACTCCCTTTATTGAACCCATAACTAAAACTGAAATCAGAAGCAAATATATTTGATGTGTTTATTAATGGATTGGATGTTCTTTTTTCTTTTCTCTTCTTTTTTCTTTTCTTTTCCTCTCTTTCTTTCTTTCTTTCTTTCTTTTTTCTTTTTTCTTTTTTTTTTGAGGCAGGGTTTCTCTGTGTACCTCTGGCTGTCCGGGAACTCACTCTGTAGACCAGGCGGGCCTAGCACTCAGATATCTGCCTGCCTCTGCCTCCTGGGTTTAAAGATACTTGTTTAAAAACATATAGGGTGGTAAATTGAATAAAAAAGGTGAGATATTGGAGGACAAATTCAAGTATATGTGTACAGTTTTAACATCCAGATGCTGAATGTTAGCTTGTGCAAAAGGAGCATTTGTTGGTTATGTGCATAAGCTCACACCATATTAACACACCAGAGGGTCACACCCATGTCTCCGGATAGCAAGCCTGTGTGACCAGAGTCAACACAACTTTAATACTTCATGTCCTAATTGGCTTAGTGTTACTCATCTCCACCCTGGAAAGTATCCCTGTCTCCCTCACTCCTCAGAGTCCATTCATGTCCCTTGCTATGGCCTGCAGACACACAATATAAACTGTCATTCTCAGATATAGTTGAGGAATCCTGAGTTGAATAGGGGCTGGACTCTGAGATGTTTGCCTCAGACCCTTGGGAGCAAGAAAGTCTAGAGCTATCAAGAATGTCTTCCCTGGGCCTGTCTGATACCGATTTCAGTTCCCCCTCCCCACACTGGTGCTTTTGCTTGTGGCAAAGGATGAGGAACTTGGATCTTATTGGGGTCTGGAGAGTCACATGTTGTAGCTCTGACCATTGCAGAGGAACAGATTTATTTTCTGGTTTTAGTTAAAAGAACTAGGGGAAAGGTTAGTGTCAAATGTTCATCCTATGGTTTAGGGTAGTGGTCCTGTAAGATATAAACTTGCCTGAGGCTACGGTGTGGATTCAGAATAAGAACTTCCTAGAAAAGCTGGTATTGTAGTGGTGTACACCTTTGACCCCAGCATTCTCAAGGCAGAGACAGGAGAATCTCTATGAGTTCAAGGCCAGCTTGGTTCTCACAGCAAGCTTTAGGACAGCCAGGACTACATGGAGAAACCCTGTTTCAAAAAGCAAAAAAGTAAATAAAAGAACTCCCTAGATAAAAAATGAAGTCCTCTTTGCAAAACAGTACCTCATACTATGTTATATCCCTATAATTATTAGTGTGGCCATATGGACAGTCACAAGCTGAGTAATCTTCCAATTGCCAAAATGCCTCATCCCAGTATGAGTCATGTGACTTTTTTTGCACCGTCCTACTGATGAAAAAATGGAGGTCATAGTAGGTTGGCTTGGTTAGAAGAACCTTCTCATTGAAGAGTGGCTTTTCATGTCAGGCTGAACATTTCCCCTGCAGCATATGAGTGTTGCTAAGGACCTCTGGAGAACACTTGGGCATTGGACAGTAACTTGGACATGGTGAATTCATTTAGGAATGTGGACTCATTTTTTTCCTGTATATAAAGCCCAAACTCAACCTCTGTTTAAAAATCTCTTAATCTAAGACATTAATGTTGTTGCTTTACATAGTTGCTAGAACTTTTGCTTCAATTATAACATTTCATTCAGCCCATTTTTAAAATTCCTAATATTTTTATTCAGTCTTAGAAAATTGCATACAATGTATGTTTTATATATTTTCTTTTTTATTTTTGAGATCATAATGTAATTATATCATTTCTCTATTTCCTTTCCTCCCACTAAACCCTCCAATATACCTCTTCTTGCTCTCTTTCAAATTTATAGCACCCTTTTCATTAATTTTTGTTACACACACACACACACACACACACACACACACACACACACACATATATATTCCAAAACAAAACCTGCCATGTCTGTATAATGCTACTTTTGTGTACGTTTTCAGGGCTGACCATTTGGCATCAGACAACCAATTAGTGTGCTTTTCCCTGGGGGAGACAGTTTCTCCCACTCTTAGCATTCTTTGGGTGCCTGTAGTTTTCATGCAGGGTTGAAGTCTCATGGGCTTTCCCCTGGCCACTTTGACATGTCTATTATTGTCCTTGGCCAGCTCATGTGTATGCAGCCATATTGGGAGACTTTATGGATATAGCTTCTGCCGCTATAGCCCCCTACTCTCTGGTTCTTACAATCTTTCCACCCACTTCCATGTCCCCTGAGCCTTAGGTGCATGACTTGTTTTGTAGATGTATACACTGGAACTGGACCCCACAACTCTGCATTTTAATTGTATTTGAATGCAATTTGAATGCAGTTTTATTTTAATTGAATGCTATTTTAATGTGGTTTAAATTTAATTTAATGTGGTTTTCTGTAATGGTCTCTGTCTGTTATTGCAAAGAGAAGTTTCCTTAATGTGGTGTGAAGACTACATTTGTCTATGGGTTGAAGGACAAATGTTTCGAGTGTTGTTAGGGATTATGCTGGCTTAGTAAAGTGGTTCTAAGTTCTTCTTCAAGATCTGTGAACTTGCCTGACCTGAGTAGTTAGCTAGGTTTCCAGTTACCAAGCAGGATGCCACTCTTGTTAAACCAGTAAGGCATGTGTGTTACTACTGCACTCTTAAGGTTATTGTGCCATGCTGGGCTTGTGGTTCATGGACATCACAACTGGCTAGGACAGTTGGTTGCTTCTTTCCTTTTGAAGCTCTCATGGCACCTTCTGGTATCACAAAAGCTTGTCCCCAGGGAAAAAGGTACTCAGGTCAGTTTCAGCTCAGGGCTCTGTGTCTGAACTGCATCATGATGCCTTCAGCAATTGAGATTTACCCTTTGAAGGGACCAGCTTCCCTTTTGGCAGCCATAATGACCAAACATGTGCTCTATGACCTTGTCTTAGTCACTAGAAAGTAAGATGCCTGCCTTGTGACAAGGAAACAATCAGAAGTTAGTCACTAGAAAGTCAGATGCCTGCCTCGTGACAAGGAGCCAATCAGAAGTTAGCTGGTGGCACTATGCTTTACGACCCTGGGTGTGCTTTACGGACAAGCGCACAGCAATGACACACAAAGCATAGCAACCACCCTGGGAGGGCCTATGGGCCATAACAACCAGTTGACCAATCAACACAGGGCAAACCCTCCAAGCCTGGAGGCACGCCAATCCTGAGCCTGTGCATACCCCTAGACACTCCCCTTATGCTGCCCTATAAAGATCTTTGTGCAGCGGCTTCGAACTGTCTTTGCTAGCCATCCGCCATGGTAGGTGGGTCAAAGGCCCGAGCTAACATGGGGTTAGCTCATTAAACTACAATAAAGCCTCATGCAATTTGCATCAAGCTTTCGCCTCCATTCTGTGATTGGGGTGGCCGCAGTCCTGGGCTAAGATTCTGGAAGCATCAGCTTTTCGAGGGTCTTACACCTTCACCTCTGGTCAGCCTCATTTTTGAAAGAATTTTATTTAATTATGAACCATTATCTCTTATTAGTATATAGTAAATGAAACTGTGATCCTTTTGTGTGTGTGTGTGTGTGTGTGTGTGTGTGTGTGCGTGTGTGTGCCCTGTATTCTGATTACTCTGATTACTCCTTGGAAAGTGACATGGATTTTGCTGTTAAACTGATCATAGCACTTTATAAAAATAAAAATTCTTAAAATCTAAACATGAAATAGAAACAAACAATATTCAGTGTTTTCTTAATTTTTTCTTAGGAGAGAAGCACAGAAAGTGGGGCTAAGGGTGATGAGTCCCTACAGCAAGAGGTGAGAAGGAATAGCTACTGTGTGTTATGTGAAATGAGTACAGTTTAAGAGTAGAAACCTAAGTTTTAAATATCAGTGGCTAAAGTTTTAATAAGAACATTGTCAAAAGTGCTGGTCCAGGATGGATATGGTAGGGCACACACAGGATCACAGTGCCTGAGGCTTGGTTGTTGTGATTCCTGGCACACCTAAAGCTACATAGTGAGACCCTGTTTTAACAAACAAAAGCAAAGTCAAAAGCCCTATAACAGTGATAGTCCAAATTAGTATTCTAATGGTAAGTCACAGCTGTGTGGTGCTTTGAAATAAACCTCAAAGTGGATAAAATTTGAACATGAAATATGTACTTGTATATTTTGAAGATACAATGTCCTGTTATATTGCACATAGAATTACTTACAAGTGCATTTTGAAATTCCAAATGCATTTAAAGATAATTTTTAGTGCTTCTTACTAGATAGAATTCTGGTATCATTAAAAGCCATTGATGAATTCTACTACTTAACAATGTTGATTTTGTGTGCTTAATTCAGAAATTTTATATCAAATTGCCAGAAAAATAACAGGTTCATTTTGAAGACATGCAAAAGTAAAAACTGACTTTTATGACTGTAGGACTCAATGATGGACTCAGGCAAAACCCTAGCTGAAATCAGTGATCGCTACGGAGCACCTAACTTGAGCAGAGTGGAAGAGCTTGAAGAGCCATTGTTATCTGATGTGAGTATCAAAATGTGTTGTCGCAGAAGTTTTCATGTTGATAAAGTCTGGTGTATATGACTTTATCAATATATAATATTTTAAATATATTTAATGAATATTAAACTTAATATATTTATCTAAATATATTAAATATATAATATTTATAATACACGGAATACTTTTCCTTCATGCAAAGAAGACCAAATGTGTAGGTGTTAACCAATTTTTAAAAATTTTACTTTTATGTTATGTGTATGAGTATTTTGACTGCCATATATGTGTAGTATCAGTGGATGCCAAAAGAGGGTGCCAGATCCCCCAGGACTGGAGTTACAGAAGTTTGAGAGCTGCCATATAGGTGCTAGGATTTAAGCCCAGGTCTTCTAGGAGAACATCCAGTGCTTTTGACTGCTGAGCCTCTTTCCCAGTCCCACTAACCAGATTCTTAACTGGTGCTGTGCCTTTCAGTGAGGCATCACTGGCATAGCTCTGTCTGTCTTCATATAGCTTCATATCTGCCTATGCTTCTATTTCTACTCATCTGTAGCCGTGTATTTTACAGTTAGATTTTGAAAACATCAAAACCTCTTAAAAACACGTGTAAAATAATTTTTGTGAAATACACAGTCCTTAAATTTGGTAGGGAAAGAACCTTTTTGACTCTCTGGAGCAAGCCCTGGAAACACATAAGCAGTTTAATGCAAACAAGGGTTTTTATAGTATGTAATCATGTGTTTATTTAACAAGCAAATTGTGATGTCTGTATAAGGCATCATACCAGTGGCAGTGGGCAATAAGGCAGTTTTCACCTCATGGAGTTTGTTGTCTAGAGGAGAAACACAATCAGAGCAGGATTTAGCGCTTATTATTAGAATGACCAGGAAATCTACTGCCCATACCAGTGTCGTTTATGACTGAAAGAAGAGCCTATGAATAACTGACTCAGGTCAACAGGGGGACTGTCCTGCCAGGAAGGCAATGTGTTGGCTAATCTTGATCATCAGCTTGATAAACCTGGAAATGGGCTTGAATTGCCTCCATCAGATTAGCTTGTGAGCATGTCTGTGGGGACATTTTCTTGGTTGCTACTTGATGTAGGAGAGCGCAGCCTACTTTGGGCTTGGACGGAATGAGAAAGAAGGAAAGTGAGGGAATGAGCCAGTAAGTAGTGGTCTAGCCTGGTCTAGTCTTCCATGGCTTCTGCTTCAGTTCTTGTCCCAACTTCTCTCAAGTGATGAATTGTGATCTGGAACTGTAAGCCAAACACCCCCTCCCTCCATGTTGCTTTGGCCATGGTGCTTGTCACAGCAACAGAAAGAAAGCAAACTAGAACAGGCACATCTTGTTACTTCATTCTGTGGGCACTAAGGGTGGGGGAGAGATATGATCAGCATGGAGGAACCTTAGTGAGGAAAGAATTCCAGGCAGAAATCATATGAAGGGTAAAGAGCCAGATAGGAGAAAAGAGTGACGCATAAGGCAATAGTGATGAGGTCAGGAGCTAACAGGGGCTAGACCCTGAAAGGTCTTGTAATTCTTGCCCTGGACCTCAGACATTTTCCTGTAGATAGTGGAGACTTATGTCATCAGAGCTGCACTTTAGAAAGAGCATTTGACTACAGTGGGAGAGGAGGATGGGGAAGTAGGTGTGGGTAGATCAACTAGGTTTTGGTAGTAATCCAGAAAGAGCACAGATACTAACTGAGCCAAGGGAGGGAGCAAGGTGTTGAGGAGAGTGTGCAGAGTGAAAAGACCTGCAGGCTGGGGTGGGGGTAGATAGCACACGGAATTGCACTATTTAATGGTGGCTACTGGAAGTAGAAGAAAAGAAGAATTTAGGCATTTTCAAGAGCTATTCAGAAAGCAGGGCTGGAAGCACCTGGTGTCAGACATCAGGGAGCCACAACCACTAAACAGTTCCATTCCTTTGGGCCCATAAGCCATTGGGAAGGGACTATAAGAGACCAAGAAAGGAGATTTTGAACTAGAGAAGGCAAGAAGTTTTGCAACTGGGCTTCATTGAGCGAGGAGAGTGGTGAGACTTAAAGGCAGGGAGCTGGAAAAGCCAGATCACATGTGCATGTCGGTTAGGTAGATGGGACTTAGAAGCAGAAGGGGAGGTAAGGATTTTTATCAGGTGGAGAGTTAGAGTGGGGCAGGTCTTTAAAAGGGGACCACATGGGGGTGGTTACAGTCATCTACATGCAAGATGACCGGGGCTAGAAAGCACAGATATGATTAGAATGGACTTGGCTCAAGAGATGGGGAGAGGGAGCCAAGAATCAATCCTAGACTTTTGCCTTGAGGAGCTGAGCTGTGTTATCCTTGGATGAGTTGGTGAACATAAGAAAAGGAAGAAGGTTTTGAACAGGGAGGCTTTAGTCATGGAGATGTTGAATTACAGACGACTGAGACATGCACATGATCAAACCCCACTTTATGTATGGTATAGCTTTGGTAGGGACAGGAGGGCCATGCAGAAGATTCAAATTCAGCAGCCAAGGGTATGTGTGTTAACTGAGCTAGGGGAGGGAACATGGTGTTGATGAGCAGATGCAATGTGTAAAGGCCTATTGTCCATCTACGAAGAAACCACTAGGAATTCCCATAAGAGATGCCTGAACTTGAGAGACGACTATACCCTTAAAAGCTAAGGCTCACAAGCAACAGGACAAGGGTTCTGTTCCCAATGGGAGGTGTCTCTGGAAAGGGTGTGCCTCTTAGGAAGGATGAGAAAGACAAGGAGAAGACTTCATTTGGGAACATCATTTATAATTTTATACTACTTTGGTACTCTTCTAAAATTAACTGAAACTCAAAAAAACTTTCTTTAGTGGATCACATTAATAGTACTTGAGCTCTATTTTCTTTTCTTTGTGTCTTTTCATTGTAGTAAAGTTTATTTACTTTGTATTTTTCTTTTAGGTTGCATTAAACATTGATCAAGATTTGTAGGACCAACCAACTGTGAAGAATTATTTTCCACCTGTTTCAAACTTCAAATCACAAGGGCCCTAATATGTATTTCTCCCATCCAAATTGAACTCTACTTCCCTCTCCTATTCACTAACTTTATAAATGGGATTCAAGGGTATCCTTAAAATACAGTTTAGATTTCTCAGTACATCTAGTTACTTGTGTTATCTATTGTGGAGGTATGACAGAATTTGCTGAAGCAACAAAAAGAGGCAAGAGATGAGTCAAAAGAAGGTACATCTCTACAAAGAACAAGATGGCTTGGAAGGAAAGTTCTAGAAAAGAAACTACTACTGTACAAAGGATCGAGGTCTTAAGTGTTCAACAAGTCTCAGACATTGCCTCTTCTTTAGGAATGAACTGAAAGCATTTTCCAGGTTGCTGGAAGGTGGAGCCTCATAGGAACATTTAATCAAACATCCACGATGTAGCCAGACTTGAAGGGAACTCAAGAATAGTTCTGGGGTTTCCCTTTCTTTACCCTTTATGCAGTTGGGTATCCAAGTCCTGTCTTCCCTTCAATGTTTGTGAAGGTAGGGTTGTTGAATATTCACATAGAGACAGTAGAGTGGGAAAGTATTAGAGAGATTGGAACATATTTTTTCTTTTCTTTTTTTCTTTTTGGAACATACTTTTTCTTGATCAGCCAGTAGGCTCAGACACTAGAGCACTGTGGTCAGACAGATTTTTTTGGTCCCTTGGAAGTTTTGGCTCTTAGGAGAAACTTCCTTTACAGAATTCTTTCAAATCCAAGGCCATGGTATTAATTTTCAGTTCTTAAAGACAGGGGCATAAAACCACAAATGCTAGGAAGAAACCCTTTGGTTTTTAAATATGCTTTTGTATCTAATATTTTCCCAAGCTGCTTTTCAGATGGAAATTGAAACAGGAAAAAACAGGAAAAATGACTTAGTTTATTAAATGTAAATATTATCTTGGCATACCTGTTCTATACATTTTTAACAAAAAGATCTGGAAAGATGTGTTCTCTGGGAATCTGCCAGACACTAGGGTCTAACATGGACCAACATCATTCCCACCCATGAATGAGTTTGTCAGAGAAGGGAACTGTGATTTTTCACATCCACCCAGTCTCAGAGGACTCCACCATGGGAGGTGAGAGACAGGAAGGAGGTGAGGGTGGTGGTGGTGATTTTTGGACTTTGCATAGCCTGGAACAGTCCTCAAAGGGTATGGGTGAGAGGGATTTGGCTGGTCATAGGCTGAAACATTGTGGTTCCAAGTAGGGTACAGTTTTGTTTAAAGTACTTCTGGCCAGATGTGATATATTGTTTATGACCTAATAAAGCTTCCATTTGAGATCAGACTGCAATGCTAGCCACAGCCATAGAAGCTGGGCAGTGGTGGCACACAAATTTTATCCCAGGACTCAGGAGATAGAGGCAGATGGATGTCTGTGAGCTCAAGGTCACCCTAGGCAATACGAGAGTCAATCAGTCTAAAAGAGAAACAGAGCTCATGCCTTTAATCCCAGCACTAGAGATAATATAAGGAGCTCAGGACAATTGCAGGAGCAATCTGAGGTTTGTTGAAGAGTGGTACACTCTGGAGATGCAATCTGAGGTTCATGTTGGTGGATCACTCCTTTGGTCTGAGCATTGATAGAGGTGACTTGGCCTCTTTGCTTCTCTGATATTCAGCTTGAATCCCAATATATGTCTCTGGGTTTATATTATTTGTGCTATAGCCAGAACTGGATGAAAGGGGAAGAGCAGATATTCTTTACCCTAAAGGAACTTGGGTCTCAAATACAGTAGCTAATCCAGGCTGTCCATCAGAGCCATAGACTTTCTTGCTGATAGCAGCTAGGCTCATTTTGGCAGACTGTCTTTGCTGCTGGACAACATTCTGGGCTTATTATGAAGGGATCTAGATCTTCCATCTGAACCAGGCTCAAGGATGGTGAGGAATCTAGGAAAGGAGAAAAATACATGAAAAAATACATGGAAAATGGTGACCCCAAAGGATATATATTGGGGTGGCTTGCTTACAGTTCAGAGGTTTAGTTCATTATTGTCATGGTGGGAAGCAAGGCAGCATACAGGCAGATATGGTGATGGATAAGGAGCTGAGAGTTCTTATATATTGACCTGTAGGCGACAGGAAGTGGTCTGTCTCACTGGGTATGGCTTGAGTATATAAAAAACTTCAAAGCCCTCTTCCACAGTATCACACTTCTTCAACAAGACTACACCTACTCCAACAAAGCCACATCTCCTAATAGTGGCACTCCCTTTGGGAGCCATTTTCTTTCAAACCACCATAGTAATTAAAGTAATTTTTCCTTCTGCAAAAGATGAGACCATTAAAATTAAAATGTTTGCAGGTGCACTGAAGTTGGAATGGAAGGATGCTGATATTCAGCAAAATTAAGGATCAAGTTGTATATCAGTACAACAAAAAAATTACACACCATTAAGCAACTTTGGTCTATTCCACCAGCTTTCCTCTCTCTCCATTCTGTGTACCCCTAGATTAGCCAGAAGAGAGATTCTAAATGTCATCATCATAAAGAAGTGGTAATACTAATTGTTCTGTTAGTTACCTATATATATATCTGTACATGTGTGTATACATTCATGTATATATATATATATATTTAGCATACATAAATATCTCATAATTAATGTAAACTATGTGTTGTTAAAATACTTCAGGGCTGGCAAGACAGCTCAGCAAGTAAAAGCTCTTGCCATCAAGCCCAACTATCTGGAGTTCAATAGCCTGGACCCACACACAATGGGACTAGAAAACACTCCTGCAAGTTGTCCTTTGACATTCACATGCACACAGCATATGTGTGCCTATACATATGTGCATGTACATGCATACAGATAAAAATACACAATGATAAGTAGAATCTCCTTCTTTTATTGAAAATAGATTATTTTCTCATATAGTATATCCTAATTACAGTTTTCCCTTCCTCTATTTCTCCCAGGTCCCCCCCTCCCCACTTCACTCACATCTGAATCCAATCCCTTTCTGTCTCTCATTACAAAAGAACAGGCTTCTAAGAGATAACGAAACATAAAATAAAATAAAATAAAATAAAATAAAATAAAACAAAACTGTCACATCCAAGTTGGACAAGGCAAACCAATAAAAGGAAAAGAGCCCAAGAGAAGGCACAAGAATCAGGGACCCACTCTTTCACACACTCAGGAGTCCAATAAAAACACAAAACTGGAAGCTATAATATTTATGGGGAGTACCTAGTGCAGAGCTATGCAGGCCCTGGCTGCTTCAGTCTCAGAGTTCATATGAGTTTTACTTAGTTGACTTAGAGGGTCTTCTTTTTTGGTATCCTCCATCTCCTCTCGCTCTTACACTCCGACTCCTCTTCCTCTGGATTCCCTCAGCTCTGAAGGGAGGAATTTGATGGGCACATCCCATTTAGACTGGAGACATCCCATTTAGAATGCTTCAAAGTCTCTCTCTTTCTCTTTTCTTAGTATCTGTGGGTCTGTATTTGTTCCCATCTAATACAGGAGGAAGCTTCTCGGATGGTGGCTGAGTAAGGCATTGATCCATCAGTCTAGCAGAATATCATTAGGAGTCATTTTATCGTCCCCCCTTTTTTAAGACCGGTAGTATTTGGTTTTATCCTAGATCTCTGGGTTACCTAGTCTCTGGTTCTTGGTTTCCCAAGCAATGATGGATATGGGTTCAATCTCATGGAGTGGACCATAAGACAAATCAGAGATTGGTTGGTTACTTCTACAAACTTTGTGCCACCACTGTCCTAGCATATTTTGCATGGAGGACAGATTGTAGATCAAAGTTTTTGTGGCTGGATTGATGTTTCTTTTACTCTTTTGGTAACCAGTGGAGTACCTTCCTATATGAAAGACACTAGAACTTAGGAGTAAAGGCTCTAATGTAGGCACCTGCTTGACTTTTCCATGTTCAGTTAGTTGCACAGGTGTTGTCTTCAGCAATGGGCCCTTGCTGTCAGTTTGTGGAGAACAACCTATTGTGTTGGTAACATCCTGGGTTATTTAGGAATTTTCATGGGACCCCTTTAGCCAACAACTCAATTGAATGTAACCCTATCCCAGTAGATAGACAATTTGTTTGCTTTCAATATATGGCCAGTTAGGACTCTCTCTCTCTCCCATTATTTGGAGACATCGTTAGTATCGCCCTCATATATTTTAGGAAGTTTCCACTGCACTAAATTTCCATACCACCCCTCACATGCCCGTCAATGCTACCTGTCTCTCCTGTATTCCTTCCCTCAACCCTGTCTTCCTTCCTCCTCCCCACCTGATTCTTCCATTTCCATTCCCCCAGCCCCACTCCACCCTTAAAATATATTCTATTTCCCCCTCCCAGGGAGATCCATGTGTCCCTCCTAGACTCTTCCTCTGTGCCTAGACTCTCTGGGCTGGTTATCATTTACTTAACAGCTAATATCCACATATAAGTGAATACAAACCATATTTATCTTTCTGGTTCTGAGCTATCTCATTCAAAATGATTTTTTTCTAGTTCCACTCATTGTCTACAAATTTCATGATGTCATTTTTTTTAAATAGCTGAGTAATACTCCATTGTATAAATGTAACACATTTTCTTTATTCATTCTTCTATTGAGGGGCATCTGGGTTGTTTCCAATTTCTGGCTTTTCTGAATAGAGCAACAGTGAACATGCTTGAGCAAGTGTCCTCATGGTAGGTTGAAACATCCCTTGGTTTTATTTTCAAGAGTGGTATAACTAGATCTTGAGATAGATTGATTCCCATCATTCTGAGGAACTTTCCTACTGATTCCATAGTGGCTGTCCAAGTTTGTTTTCCCTGATGACTAAACACTAAACATTCATTCCCACCCCCAATAGGTATATCTTATTCAAACCACCACAGGGGTATTTTATTTCTCTATAATGCTTTTTCTTGCATATTTCATATTACTTTGTTTGATATTTAGGATAGTCAATCTTCTCTGATTTCCC